ACATACTCTAATGCTTAATGTTTCATTCACACATGGCTATGTAACATAAAAGAAATATAGCAACATTCAATCTTTGATAATTTAAATCATCATCAAGCAATATCAACTCATAAGCATACATATCAAGCACACAATAAAGGTAAGTTTACTACCTTGTATGTTTAAGCTTTTCTTTAGCTCTCTTTGCTCCCTTTGCTTCCAACCATTAAGGTTGCTTGTTTAACATTTGCTATTACTCTTCCTTGATGTCTTTTGGCCGTAGATGTATCAACATATCATTTTTATTTATTCATTAAAGCCATGGTAACTAACAATATTAACACTTTGTTCTCTTTGAATCATATTAGCTTCTAACTTTTGAACATGATTTCAACCTTTCTAAAACTAATCTCATAAGCTATTCTCTCATAATTTTGCATGTATAGTTCATTGTCAAGGTTAAAATTATCAAAATCCAACTTCTTCCCTTAGAACCACTTATGGCTGACTACTCTATGGTTTTAGGGTTCAAAATTTCATTTTCAATTCAAGTGCTTCCAAACATGCTTTCTTACCTCTACCCTACATAATTTTTTATTTTAAACATAATGTAAGCATTAAAATTATGAAATTCCAGCCTTAACTCAGGCCCTACGTCTGGCTGCAATTGTCCAAAGGTTTGGGAGAAGTTGGTTTTCTTACAAACTCATCACAAAACCACTTGATTCTTTGTTCCTTTCAAGTCTTTAAACACTATTTTAACATCAATTTCATCTTTTCCTTAACTTATAAACTTATATAACTTATAACTTATGTACAGCATGTCCCTTTAGGATTTCAAGCTCCCAAAATCAAACAAAACCCATAACTAAGCTCAACAAAAAAAAAGTAATGGAAATTACACCAAAAACCTTAAACATATTTTCAGCTTGTTTTGGAGCTTGATCTTGCATGGTTTCTTTAGATCTTCTTCTCCTTTCTCCCTTTATATTTTCAGCTTCTCCCCCCTCTTTTCTTGTGTTGGTCAGAAATCTTGGCCATGTAGGAGGGGAAGGGGTATTTATAAAAATTTGCTTAAATCATGCCCCTTGATCTTTTGTGTGTGTGTGGCTTGATCTTTGTTATTCATGATTCTATCCTCTTGATTTTGCTACTTAACCCTCTTAAGTGTCCTCAATAATCAATACCAAAGCCATCTCATATGAGGGGACGTATCATATTGGCTATAATCAAGTAACGAATGGACAATTGATCTAGGTAGGACCTTAGAAGAACCTGTCTCTTACAACCCTAGCCATAAGGACACCACAAGGTTGATCAATCCCTTAATACAATCAAGTATTCTCACAAAAATATAAGGATACAAGCAAAGCTCACATAAAGAGACATAAGCTCAATTCTCATTTATCCAAGTCTCAAATTCAATTACAAAAATCGTAGCCTATATACATAGGCAACCATGGAATACTCTAGAATCAGCATCTTAAGACATAAATGCTAGGGATAATGCCTCATTAATGATTATTTGACTATGGGAGGCACTATTTATTACATAGAGATAAAAGAGAATGACTTAAACTTCAAGGACAACTCTACTACTTGAAAATAGGAAACTAGATTAGAAGATGATCTTCTAGAGCAATCCTTGATCAAAAGGCCTTATTCAAAGCAGATAAAGAAAACGAAACTTCCTAAAAATGAATTTAAATCATAATTAATTTATAATGATACATTCTTGATCCTTTTTTAATGTTCTTGGACTTCACTTATGATCTTTGTCAAAGGCACATGCTTGTCACATAGTATCTTAAGTGAATTCTTCAATCTGAACTTTGCATGGGCCTTGTATATCATCTTGTTGGGCTTTTAAGCAATGTGATCACCATTTTAGGACTTTTTTTTAGGCTCACTAAAATGTGTTTCCTCCAAATAAATAGGCTCTAACTCTTTTGGCTCTCTTATTAGATAATTTAGGGCCTCTTTCATTGATTTGTCCGTAGTCGTATAGGCAATCAAAAACAAGAAAGAAAAGAAGGTTATGCAGCACAATGATGCAACCTAGATGTCGAATCACTTAGTCTAATAACTCTTTGAATTTCTAAGCAAAAATTAGTAAAATTTACTGGTAACAGTATTGAAACAGAGCAAAATGCAAATCAGTATAGAAAGATTTTTGTTGATTTTCCAGGTAGAGGATTGGAGTTATAATGAAAGAAAATGCAGATAGCACCTTGAATTTTAAGAAAAGCAATCAGAGTATCAATTCTCCCAAGAGTTGCACTTCATCTTCATTGCCTTAATTTGATCTAGAGCTAAATGTTACTGAATGCGCAGAGGACTAAACACTCTTAATCAAATAGAAGCTCTATTCGAATGAATCAATTAATCAAACCAAAATATTCAATTTCACTGAATTGTAATAAGGATCTAATTAACTTCTAATTCAAGAATGAATTACCAAGTCTTCTACAGCATTCAATTACACAGCATTCATTTATACGTCTAAAACAGAATACAACCGAATTCTCTCCTAAATACTCTACAACTAGCAGAGCAATTGAAAAAGATAGATGAATGCAGACTCCCTCTTCAATCCAGTAGCTTAGATTCGATTTTGCTCTTGGAAGAATTTGCAGAATTAACTACGCATGATAATGATTGCTCCTTCTTCAACGTTCAACTGCTGTTTCTCCATGGATGTTCCCCAAGTTCGATGATTTCCCACTCAAGAAGATATAGATCAGTTAGAAGAAAAAATGGAATCTCTCCGTCTCCCCTTGCGGCCTCTAGAGAAAAGTTTGTCTTCTTTTCTTAATCACCGAAAAATATATCCCACGTCTGCCCAGCTAAAATTCCTTTTGTTATTCCTTTCTGTTTTTTCGTTTTGTCTTAGCTAGCATGGAGTGATTGTTTTCAAATCATTTTCGTTTTCCCGCCTCCTCACTGTAATTCCCACAACTGAATATTTCAGCTCCTTCGGTGGAATTCCCTCTCCTTTAGTGATGGAAATTAGTTTCCATTAGTGATGGAATTTCATTTCCTTTGAACTCCCCTTTCCTTTCTTCTGGGAAAAATGTTTCTGTCACTCTAAAATTACAATTCTGCCTCTGAATTTAAAATATTAAGACAGAAGTAATATCCAATAGTGAAAATTAATAAGAAGAATTATTAAAATATCACAACTGCTTAATTCTTTTACTCAAGTGCATCAACAATTTATTTATTTATTAATGGAATTAATGCTCAATCCATTTCTTAAAATAGCCTAAAATATACATCCCAAGCATATAAAAATATGATTTATCAAATTCCCCCACACTTAAGTTTTGGCACTCCTGGGACAGAATGACAAATTGAAGCTGAATTTCAAACACATTATTAATGAATGATGCTAAATCTTGCTCAAAGAAATGAAATACTTGTGTTCATCAACCACTTCCTTCAAATGTCATCAATAAAGAACACTCACATGCTAAAAGATCAATTCACAATCATGCAACTTAGCCAAGGACAGCAAATAAAAGATAAGGTTTCTCTCAAGGTAGAGTATTTCCCTCACTCTCAAAGATCAAGGTCATTTCTCTCAAGACCATCTAGCTTAGGCTTCACCATAGGCTTGTAACTGCCCTACATCTCCACCACTTACTTGCCACGAGGCTTTGTGAATGAAAGGGGCTTGTTAAGGTTGTAATGTTGGAAAGGCCAAATTATGGGATGGAAGTGAATGCTAATGATCAATGAACATATGCTTATGCATTTGCCTAGTCAAAATGCGCCTTGTCTATTAAAATTTCAGGCTACTACACAAACACAAGTTCGAATATGGATAAATTCCACCATCCTTACTACTTTGTTAAGCTTCTTTTACTTCTTTCTGTCTCTCTCTCTTTTCTTTTCTCTTTTTTTTTTTTTTGCGTATGCAATTCTTTCCTTCATGCCTTATTTTCTTTTCTTTTTCTTCTTTTTTTTTTTTTTCCTACTATAGCAATCAGCACATAAATGGCAAAAGAGGAAGAATTCTAGCAATGAATCAGCGATGACTAAAGTAATATCAATGAGTTTCCAATCAACAAAAGCTATATCAACACTGAACATCTCTCCAATCAAGCAATTCTGCGATATTATTTCTGTCTAGCATATGCAATGTTCATCAATCATGATGGAATTTAAAAGAACAGTGAAGGGCTCAAGGGGTTAAGCAATGGATTGGTTTAAGTAGGTTGCTGTTTGGTCAAAAGGATTTTGAATGAAATGCCCTTATCATCTTCACAATTCCAAGAGCTCATGTGGTCTTGAATTAAGGATTGAGACAAGTTCTAGGAAGTTACCAAACTAGATGGTATCACACAAAATTTAGGAATGAATTAAGGCTCAAAATTCTTTCAACTGGTTTACTCATCCTTATTCACTTGCCCTAAACAAATTGCATGAGGATTTGGACTTAATGCATGAGAAGAGTTATTTATGATACACACTTTCTGGAATTAGGCTGATTCAGCAAGGACTTCACACTTGAACAAGTTTTAACATTATTCAAAGAAATGCATTCAAAGCTCAACTAAATTCTATGACAGAATGATAAACAAGTAAGCAGCCTTCCAGTTCACTACAAAGTCAAGTCACTACAGCAAGGAGCAGACCAAAGTTGATAAAATCCCTGACTTCTAGACAGCTAACCAAGGGTCAAAACACTGGTTTTCAATGATTACAACTACACTCACTCCCCCACACTTAAAACAGATGTTGTCCTCAATGTACCACAAAAGGGAAAGAGCACATTCACTGTTGCGAAACAGAACTGAACTGAAGAGGGTGTGTGCTTCCACATGTGTGACTGAGTGTCCAGCAGCAGGCAACAGAAAAGTAATAAAAACAGCACCAAAACTCTTTTGTTCTTTTTTTTTTTTATATTTAGAAATCCTCAATTCCCCCACACTTAAATTTTGTAATGTGAAAAACAGTGATACTAATGGCCGTGCAAAATTAGAAAGGATAGGGAGAAAAGAGTACAACCAATCTGATTATGGTGGCTTGTCATTGGCATGATAGTGCTTTAGCAAGTGTCCATTGACCTTGTGAATATGTCCAGTTTGCTCATCCAAGATTTCTACCATTCCAAAATTATGAACTTTGAGTACCACAAATGGTCCATCCCATCTTGTATGGAGTTTCCCTTGTTTGAAAGTAAATCTTGCCTTGTAGAGAAGTACCTTGTCCCCTTCCTGAAAAACCTTTCTCAAAATCCCCTTGTCATGTAAAACTTTAGTTCTTTCTTTATACAAACGGGAATTCTCATAAGCTTCTAAATGCAACTCTTCTAGTTTCTGAATTTGTAGTTTTCTCTCTTCAGCTATAACTTCTAGATTCATATTACAAGTTTTTACTGCCCAATAAGCTTTAGTTCAATTTCAACAGGTAAATGACACGCCTTTCCATAGATTATTCTGAATGGAGACATACCAATGGGAGTTTTATAAGCTGTCCTATAAGCCCACAAAGCTTCATCTAATCTAAGACTCCAATCTTTCCTATTTGGTTTAACAATTTTCTGTAAAATACCTTGAATTTCCCTATTGGATACCTCAGCTGCACCATTTGTTTGTGGATGATAAGGTGTTGCCATCTTATGCGTGACTCCATACTTGGACAGCAATGTTTCCATGAGTTTGTTTGCAAAGTGAGTGCCACGGTCACTAACCAAAGCTTTAGGGATTCCAAACCTGCAAAATATATTAGATTTTAGAAACTTCACCATTGTTTGCGCATCATTTTTTCTAGTAGCTACAGCTTCAATCCAGCGAGACAAGTAATCAACAGCTAGCAAAATGTATGAAAAACCATGTGATGGAGGAAATGGACCCATAAAATCAATGCCCCAAACATCAAAAATTTCACAAAATGTTGGGTTGTTGAGGCATTTCTTGTCTTTTAGATAGCCCACCAAATTTCTGACATTTGTCACAATTTTTACAAAATTCATAAGCATCTTTGAACAAAGAAGGCCAATAAAAACCAGAATCCAGAATTTTTCTTGAAGTTTTTCTTGCACTAAAATGACCACCACAGGATAAAGAAGGAGAAAATTCTAAAACAGAATGAATATCCTCATCTGAAACACATTTGCGGATCAATTGGTCACTACATAGCCTCCACAAATGTGGAGCATCCCATACATAGTATTGTGCTTCTCTTTTGAGTTTTTGGATATGAAATTGATTCATAAATGGAGGCACCACATTAGCAACTAAATAATTGACTAAATTTGAAAACCAAGGCTCTTTAACAGTGACAGCACAAAGCATATTATCAGCAAATGCATCACAAATTGAATATGCCTTATCTACTCCTTCTAAATTATTAGGTAACCTACTCAAATGATCCGCCACTAAATTTTTCGCCCCTGCCCTATCTTTTATTTCAACATCAAACTCTTGTATCAATAACATCCATCTAAGTAACCTAGGCTTTGATTGAGGCTTTTTAAACAAGAATCTTGCAGCAGCATGATCTGTGAAAATGACAACCTTAGAATACAACAAGTACTGCCTAAATTTATCCAGACCGAAGACTATTGCATATAATTCTTTTTCTGTGGTGGTATAATTTGTTTGTGCCTTATCTAATGTCTTAGATGCATATGCAATAACTCTTGGCAGTTTTTCTATTCTTTGCCCCCAACATCACCCCTACATGATGCGATACAGCAAGCTAACTCCTCAACTTCCAATGATCCATTACAAATCCCAACTGGACCAATCACAAGAGCAAGAGCTAAAAGAATTAAGGAAGCTTTGAGTGGGCTAGTGCAAGACACCTTGACAAAGCAAATGGCATTTATTGGAGTATCAAATCTGGATAAAAATGCTGAGGATGTCACTAATGTCATTTGGGCTGAAAATGGAGCTACTGATCATATCTTGGGCTTGGAGACTTCAATTTAAGGAGCTTGGATCAAGTACAACACATGAGAAGACTCATTTGGGCCTAATTAATCATATTTTGGGCTTGATATGCTGATTATATTTCATTAAATGCATTTGTGCGAAAATTCATAATTAGTTGGCAGATTTGACTTTTGAATTTCCAAGTTACCTAAATCAAGTCCTTATGAATTTATTATGTTTTGATTTTCTAGATTGCATTTAATGCTTTTTAGGTCAGATCTTGAATGTATCCTCTATAAGATATTGTAACCCTCATTTTGGGAGCAGATTTGGAATTTTGAATGAAAACTTGCATTTTGCAATTTCTGATTGAGAGGAGTTCTCTCTAGGGTTCTTCATTGAACTAACAGACTTATCAAGGCTTGATCAATCTTGTGGCGTCTTTCAACACTTCGGGTCCTTGTTCTTCCGTGTTCAAGGGTTCAAGTAGATCACCAGACCTTTGTTTACGTTCTTGGGGTGCGTATATTCAGATCGGTTGTGGGTTCGTGGGATTTTTCCCTTGTGGGTTCTCACCATCTTGGTATCAGAGCTTTGGATCTAAACTCAGGTCATATTTTTCTGTTAGTTTACCTTCATTTTCGTTCTTCATTTGGTGCCTTTTCTTGTGTCTGTTCGTCTTCTGCGTTTCTGTTCATCACCGAAATTGTCATCCTTGTCCATTCACTTTTCCGTTGAGTTTTGTGAAGTTTAATAGGTCATTTTCATAGTTCGGAATCCCTTCTTTCGTCTCGTTTTGGTTTCATCTAAATCCGACTTTTGTAGGGCAAGTTATACCCATTTGAAAAGGACGCGTTTTCTGGAATTTCTGGGTTCAGATTGCTTGTTCTGTTTTGTTTATGGTATTTTTGTGATTTTCCTTGCATTATTCAGTGAAAAAAAAAAAAAGAAAAGGGAAAAGACAAGAAAAAAAAAGGAAAAAAAAGGTACCCAAAAAGAAAGGGACAGAAAAAAAAAACGAAAAGAAATTATAGTGCTGGCAGTGTTTTGAGCAAATCATCTTCATATCCAAATTCTATTTTGGCTTTTGCAATACTTGTGTCAATTGAGTTTCTGACTTTTCTTGAAGGTCCATATTCAATACTCTTAATTTCTCAAAGTTCCTAAGTGTTGGCTGATTCTGCATATTGTGATTGCTTTGTTTAAATTGTTTAGTTCTTTAAAGAGCCTCAAGAGGGATTTCAGAGTGGAAAAAGGCAAGAGTGATATACCTCAATTTAAAAGCCAAGTTTGAGTGAAACACGAGTGTTGAGTGTCATTCTTGAGGGAAACACGTGAGGAAATTTGTGAGGAACTTTACTTCACTAACATAATTAATTTTCCTTGAAGTCACAATGTCTAATGCAGATGGGACATCTGGTGGTAGTGGAAATCCAATGAATATTGAAGACACCCTTAGGGCAATGCAGCAACATTTTCAACGGATGAATGTGGTTTATGGAGAGATAAGGGATAGAATGGATAGACAAGATGAAAGGATTGTAAATCTGCAAAGAGCCCAACCTAAACCTAGAAGGCATGGAAGGCAAAGGGAGGTTTCTATGGATGACTTTGAATCTGAAAATAACAAAGTTGGTGGTAGTGAGGATGAAGTCAATTCTGAATCTGAAGTTGAACTGATAAGGAATAGGCATAGAGGGGATAGGTATGGGAGAAGATATGGGAGAAATAACCCAAGGGAGAGAGATAGAGTAGATGGGAACCTTGGGAGCATCAAAATGAAGATACCATCATTCCAAGGTAGAAATGATCCTGAAGCCTACTTAGAGTGGGAAAAGAAAATAGAAATGATCTTTGAGTGTCATAATTATTCTGAAGCTAAAAAGGTGAAGTTGGCAGCAATAGAATTCACTGATTATGCCATTGTTTGGTGGGATAAATTGGGTATTAATAGGAGGAATAATGGAGAGAGGCCTGTAACAACTTGGAGCGAAATGAAAGCTCTAATGAAGAAGAGATTTGTTCCCAACCATTATTTTAGAGAGCTTTATCAAAAGTTGCAGACCCTTACACAAGGTCCTAGGAGTGTAGAGGAGTACAATAAGGAGATGGAATTGGCCATGATAAGAGCTAATGTGCAAGAAGATAGAGAAGCAACAATGGCCCGATTTCTAAGTGGGTTGAACAAAGATATAGCTGATATAGTTGAATTGCATCATTATGTAGAACTAGAAGACATGGTGCATATGGCTATTAAGGTGGAAAAGCAACTCAAGCGAAAAGGTGCTTCAAAATTTCATTCTGGATCAACTTCTTCTTTCAAACAGAATTGGAAGAAAGGAGAAAAAGCTATCCAAAAGGAGACCACTAGAGGCAAAGAAGAAGCTTCATCAAAGAGCAAAGGTAAATCTGATTCCCAAACTTCTAGAAATAGGGATATAAAATGTTTCAAGTGTTTGGGTACAGGTCATATTGCTTCTCAATGCCCCAACAAGAGAGTTATGATTCTGAAAAATAATGAAGTTGTGACTGAAAGTGAGAGTGAAAGTGATGACTCCATGCCCCTACTTGAAGATGCTAGTGATGATGGGATTGAGTATGCTGTGGAAGGAGAATGCCTTGTGGTTAGAAGAGCCTTGAATTGTCAAGTGAAGGAAGATGAGTTGAATGAGCAAAGGGAAAATATTTTCCATACTCGCTGCCTCATTAATAACAAGGTATGTAGTTTGATAATTGATGGTGGGAGTGTTACAAATGTTGCAAGCACTACAATGGTTGAGAAATTACATTTGCCCACTGTTAGACACCCTAGACCATACAAGCTGCAATGGCTGAATGAATGTGGGGAGATTAAAGTTGATAAGCAAGTTCTTGTTTCTTTTTCAATTGGGAAGTATTGTGATGAAGTATTATGTGATGTTGTTCCTATGCATGCTGGACATATACTTTTGGGAAGACCTTGGGAATTTGATAGAAAGGTAAAGAAAGATGGGCTTACAAATAGATATTCTTTTGTAATGAACAACAGACCCATTACTCTTGTACCATTGACCCCAAAGCAAGTGTATGAGGATCAACTTAAGATGAAAAAAGAGAGAGATAAAAAAGAGAGTGATATGAAAAATGTGAGAGAGACATCAAAAAGAAATGGGAGTGAAAAGGAGAGAAAAGATGAGAGTTCAAAAAAAGAATTTCAGAAAAAAAATGAAGAGAGAAAAGAGAAAAGAAATTGAGTTTTTATGCAAAAGAAAGTGAAGTGAGGAATGCCTTTTTGGCTGAACAACATTTGCTTCTCCTTGTTTACAAGGAATCCTTTTTGGATACTAATGACATTAACTCTTCCTTTCCAAGTGTTGTTAGTTCTTTATTGCAGGAATATGTTGATGTGTTCCCAGAGGAGATTCCACCTGGATTACCACCCATTAGAGGAATTGAGCATCAAATTGATTTCATTCCAGGAGCAACAATTCCTAATAGGCCAGCCTATAGAAGCAATCCAGAAGAGACAAAGGAACTTCAAAGGCAAGTGGAAGAGCTCATGGCAAGGGGATATGTTAGAGAAAGCTTGAGTCCTTGTGCTGTTCCGGTACTTTTGGTCCCAAAGAAAGATGGAACTTGGAGGATGTGCATTGATTGCAGAGCTGTGAATAACATCACTATAAAGTATCGCCATCCCATTCCTAGATTAGATGATATGCTTGATGAATTGCATGGTTCTATTGTCTTTTCTAAGATTGATTTGAAATCTGGATACCATCAAATTAGAATGAGGGAAGGGGATGAATGGAAAACTGCTTTCAAAACAAAACATGGTTTGTATGAATGGTTAGTTATGCCATTTGGGTTAACTAATGCACCTAGTACTTTCATGAGATTAATGAATCATGTTTTGCGTGCTTTCATTGGGAAATTTGTTGTGGTTTATTTTGATGACATTCTGATTTACAGCAAGAATCTTGATGAGCATTTGAATCATTTGCATTGTGTGCTTGATGTTTTGAGAAAGGAAAAATTGTTTGCAAATATGAAGAAGTGTGATTTTTGTATGGATAAAATTGTTTTTCTTGGCTTTGTGGTGAGTGCTAAAGGAATAGAAGTTGATGAAGAAAAGATAAGAGCTATTAAAGAATGGCCAACACCTAAAAGCATAACTGAGGTGAGAAGCTTTCATGGTTTGGCTAGTTTTTATAGGCGCTTTGTCAAAGATTTTAGCACACTTGCTGCACCACTCACTGAAGTTATTAAAAAGTCTGTTGGTTTTAAATGGGATAAAGAACAAGATGTTGCATTCATTAGGCTTAAGGATAAATTGTGTTCTGCACCTGTATTAGTATTGCCTAACTTTAACAAAACTTTTGAGATTGAATGTGATGCATCTGGAGTTGGAATAGGAGCTGTTTTGATGCAGGAAGGAAAGCCAATTACTTATTTTAGTGAAAAGTTGAATGGAGCAGCCTTGAAGTATCCAACATATGACAAGGAGCTCTATGCACTTAAAAGAGCATTAGAGAATTGGCAACACTACCTTTGGCCTAAACAATTTGTAATTCATACTGATCATCAATCTTTGAAGCACATTAAGGGTCAAGGTAAGCTGAACAAGAGACATGCAAGGTGGCTGGAATTTATTGAGACATTTCCGTATGTCATCAGATACAAGAAAGGTAAAGAAAATGTGGTGGCTGATGCATTGTCAAGAAGGTATACTCTTCTTACTACTCTAAATGCTAGGTTGCTTGGTTTTGAATATATCAAGGAATTGTATGCCATTGATGCTGATTTTGCTGAAGTGTTTCTTGCTTGTGAAAAGAAAGCATTTGAAAAGTTTTATAGGATTGATGGGTACTTGTTTAAAGAAAACAGATTGTGTGCGCCTCAATGTTCTTTGCGAGAATTACTTGTGAGAGAAGCACATGGGGGAGGATTAATGGGTCACTTTGGTGTGAAAAAGACTTTGGATGCTTTGCATGAACATTTCTTTTGGCCTAAAATGAAACGTGATGTGGAAAGAATCTGTGCTAAATGCATAACTTGTAAAAAGGCTAAATCTAGAGTCTTGCCACATGGTTTGTACACCCCATTACCTGTGCCTAGTGAACCTTGGGTAGATATATCAATGGATTTTATTTTGGGTTTACCTAGGTCAAGAAAGGGTATGGATTCCATATTTGTGGTTGTCGATAGATTTTCTAAAATGGCACATTTCATTGCTTGCCATAAAACTGATGATGCCACATACATTGCTGATTTGTTCTTTAAGGAAATTGTAAGACTTCATGGTGTTCCTAAAAGTATTGTTTCTGATAGGGATACAAAATTCTTGAGTCATTTTTGGAGGATTTTGTGGGGTAAGCTGGGTACTAAATTATTGTTTTCTACTGCTTGCCATCCACAAACTGATGGACAAACTGAGGTAGTTAATAGAACTTTAACTCAATTGCTTAGAACTGTGATTCAAAAGAACTTGAAGAATTGGGAAAATTGCTTGTCATTCATTGAATTTGCTTACAATAGGAGTGTGCACTCATCTACTGATTATTCTCCTTTTGAAATAGTGTATGGTTTTAATCCACTAACTCCCTTGGATTTATTACCATTGCCTATTGATGAGAGGGTCAGTCTTGATGGGACAAAAAAAGCTGAAACAGTGAAACAACAAATTGAAAAGAAAATTGAGCAATATGCATCCAAGGCTAACAAAGGAAGAAGGCGTGTTCTCTTTGAACCTGGTGATTGGGTGTGGGTGCATATGAGGAAAGAAAGATTTCCAGCTCAAAGAAAGTCCAAATTAGCTCCAAGAGGAGATGGTCCATTTCAAGTGCTTGAAAGAATCAATGACAATGCTTACAAAATTGATTTACTTGGTAAGTATAATGTTAGTGCTACTTTCAATGTGGCTGATTTATCTCCTTTTGATGCAGGTGATGATTCGAGGTCGAATCCTTTTGAGGAGAGGGGGAATGATGCGATACAGCAAGCTAACTCCTCAACTTCCAATGATCCATTACAAATCCCAACTGGACCAATCACAAGAGCAAGAGCTAAAAGAATTAAGGAAGCTTTGAGTGGGCTAGTGCAAGACACCTTGACAAAGCAAATGGCATTTATTGGAGTATCAAATCTGGATAAAAATGCTGAGGATGTCACTAATGTCATTTGGGCTGAAAATGGAGCTACTGATCATATCTTGGGCTTGGAGACTTCAATTTAAGGAGCTTGGATCAAGTACAACACATGAGAAGACTCATTTGGGCCTAATTAATCATATTTTGGGCTTGATATGCTGATTATATTTCATTAAATGCATTTGTGCGAAAATTCATAATTAGTTGGCAGATTTGACTTTTGAATTTCCAAGTTACCTAAATCAAGTCCTTATGAATTTATTATGTTTTGATTTTCTAGATTGCATTTAATGCTTTTTAGGTCAGATCTTGAATGTATCCTCTATAAGATATTGTAACCCTCATTTTGGGAGCAGATTTGGAATTTTGAATGAAAACTTGCATTTTGCAATTTCTGATTGAGAGGAGTTCTCTCTAGGGTTCTTCATTGAACTAACAGACTTATCAAGGCTTGATCAATCTTGTGGCGTCTTTCAACACTTCGGGTCCTTGTTCTTCCGTGTTCAAGGGTTCAAGTAGATCACCAGACCTTTGTTTACGTTCTTGGGGTGCGTATATTCAGATCGGTTGTGGGTTCGTGGGATTTTTCCCTTGTGGGTTCTCACCACTACAGCAGAATTGGAAGCATCATAAGATAGCTCAAAGTCTAAGTTCCAATTAGGAGAGGCAAAGATAGGAGGAGAAACCAGTTTGGCCTTTAACTCGTCAAAGGCAGACCTGCAACACTCATCAAAGATAAAATCAGCATCCTTTTGTAGTAATTGAGAAAGGGGTAAAGCAATTTGACTAAATTTTTTTATGAACCGCCTATAAAAACCAGCATGACCCAAGAAAGATCTCAATTCTTTTAATGTAGTTGGGTAAGGCAGAGAAGAGATCACTTCTATCTTTGACTTATCAACTTCAATTCCTTGCTGTGATATCAAGTGTCCCAATACTATCCCCTTATCTACCATGAAATGACATTTTTTGAAATTAAGAATCAGATTTTTTTCTACACACTTAGCTAAAGCTTTTTCCAAGGTTAGCAAACAGTCATCAAAACAATCTCCATACAAGGTAAAATCATCCATGAATACCTCAACACCTTGTTCTAACAGTTCACTAAAGATAGAAGTCATACACCTTTGAAAGGTTGCAGGAGCATTGCATAATCCAAATGGCATTCTTTGGTATGCAAAGGTTCCAAAAGAGCAAGTGAAAGTTGTTTTATCTTGGTCCTCCGGTGCTATAGGAACCTAAAAGTATCCACTAAATCCATCCAAAAAACAGTAGTGAGATTTACAAGCCAATCTTTCCAACATTTGGTCAATAAAGGGAAGAGGGAAATGATCTTTTCTTGTAGAATCATTTAATTTTTGATAATCAATACAGACCCTCCAGGAATTCTAGACCCTAGTTGGAATTAATTCATCTTTCTCATTTTTCACAACCGTGATGCCACTCTTTTTAGGGACAACTTTGACAGGTGAAACCCATTCACTATCACTAATTGGAAAAATAATACCAGCACTTAGCAATTTGGTTACTTCCTTTTTTACTACATCCGATATTAAGGGATTAAGTCTCCTTTGTGGCTGCCTTATGGCCCTTGAGTTCTCATGTAATAAAATCCTATGTGTACATACGGTTGGGTTTATTCCAGGTATGTCAGCCAAGGTCCATCCAATTGCTCTTTTATACTTTTTGAGAACAGAAATCAGCTTTGTTTCCTCAAGTTCAGCCAAAGAATTAGCCACTATAATTGGTAACTTTTCATTTGCTTCTAAGAAAACATATTTCAGATTATGAGGTAATGGTTTTAATTCAACATCAGGGGGTTGTTCAATAGAAGGAATAAGCTGTTTAAGTTCAAAAGCACCAAGAGACTTCCCTAATGTTTCGGTTCCCTCAATTCTGGATTTGATGTTCGCTTCACTGTCCCTAGAGATATTCCCATGCTGATTCAATTTCAGGGTTGCATTTTCATTTGTGGTAATTCCTACATCAATGACAGCACAAGATTTAAGTGAGGAGTTGTTTAATTTTGGTGAAAAAAATCAGTCAATGTAGTTTGTTTCAAATTCCTCCCCTTTTTGGTAATCAAGCTGACTTGAGTTGGTGTTGCAAAATCTGTACATTGAGTTTTACTCTTTACTTCTGAATTCCTTGAATTATATTGTTGTACATGCTGCTTTATCCTCTGAAGTTGATGTACAGGAGGTACAGCTATGTTGGAACATTGCCCATCTGAATTCAGATTCAGTTGCTGCAAAATTTTTCAGCAGGCGATCAGGTGCACTTATGCAGCTTTTGAATGTTTCCACACTTCCAGATGTAAAGTCATTGGTCAACTAATCTTGTAATTCTGCAAAACTACACAAAACATCCTTCCCAAGTGCATTATATCCAAAAAATGAAGGAAAGTGAGCTATCAAATGTCAAGCATCTAATACTACACACATCACTCTCTAAGCCATGAGAGAAGATAGAATTCAAATGGGTGAGGGCAGAATCAAATGAGCAAACATTGCATTCTTCTTCTTCATTTTCAGCATATTTATGTAGAGTCATTCCATGTTCTTCAATGGCACAATCAATGGTAGTATCAATCATATTTAACCCCAATAAAGAATAATCTTCAAATGGATGTTTCATGGCCTCATAAACATTAAATTTGACAACCTGATCACCAACTTCCATTGTAATGAAACCATCTTTTACGCTAATTACAGTATTTGCAGTCCTTAAAAATGGTCTTCCCAATATCAAAGGTTCTTCAAGGCAAGATTCATTTGACATGTCTAAGACATAAAAGTCTGCTAGAATTACAAGACCCTTGACCTTGACTAAGATGTCTTCTAAAAATCCATAAGGTTTCCTAGTACTCCTATCGGCCAATTGAAGTATTACACTGGTAGTTTTGATGTTTGTGATCCCTAATGAATTATAAACTGAATGAGGCATTACATTAATGGCAGCACCCAAATCCAAAAGTGCACTACTAAAATTCAATCTTCCTATTTGGCATGGGACTGTAAAGGAGCCAGGATCAGCACATTTGATAGGTAACTGAGGCTTGAATAATGCTGAAACATTAGAACCTAGTTAGACTCTTTTATTGGGTCTGCAAATCCTTTTATGTGTGCATAATTCCTTCAAAAACTTAGCATAACTAGGCATTTGTTTAATTAACACCAACATAGGCACATTAACCTCTAGTTTGCTAAACAAATCCATCATTTCTTTTTCCAGCATTTCATTATTCTTTTTCTTGCCTAGCAGATAAGATTTAGGAAATGGTAAATCTTTCAAGTCAAAGTGTTTACGTGAATCTCCAGCTTCTTTTTCTGTGTTTTGTGACTTGCAACTACTAGAATTCGGCTTACTATTCTTCATATCTTGAATATGCTTTGCAGTTGCAGATTGTTCAGCATCCTTGTAGGTGGAATCTTCTTCTGCAAACGCTGTTGCATTCTTCCTGCCCTTATCTGATTTTCATTCTGGTTGATCTTTGGATATAGTTGACTCTAATTCATAACATTTTGGGGCATTTTTATTTAACCAAGTCGTTCTCATGTCATTCTGAACCTCTAAACCACCATTTTGTAGAACATCTTTCTCATCATCCTCAACATTTCCAACCTTCTTTCCATTTCTTAAAGTTATAGCATGCAGTGCCTTTGGGTTTATTACAGTGTTCGAAGGTAAAGTGCCTCCTAACTAAGCCTGTTGGTTGCTCATGCTATTGGATAATTGTGTAACATAAGAGGAAAGGTTAGAATTCTTCATCTTAACTTCTTCCAGATCCTTACAAATAAAAGTGAGCTGAGAGTTTATGGTTGCTCTGTCACTGTCCATTTTCTGCAGAACTGATGTCAGTGAGGAATTGTAGAAATTTTTGTCTTCCTTCATTTGATTCAGTAGAGATTGCTTGTCTGCAACCATTTGTCATCATGTCCTTCAAGAGAGAATTAGTGTCCTCATTCTTGCTAGAATTATCTTGAATAGGTACAAGCACTTTGGATGGTTCAACCAGATTCTGATTTTGGGTCTGAAACTATGATGGTCCAGCGTTGTTGGATAAAAACTTATTATTAAAGCTCCTATTGTCACCACCCCCCACCGTAAATTAGGATGGTCCCTCCATCCTTCATTGTATGTGGCAGAAAATGGGTCCCTTTTTTGGTATTGGTTAGGCTTGTTTTGGTAAAAAGCATTAACTTCTTCAAATTTGGAAGGATAAACAGCAGGAAGATGCATAGAAGATCCACAATAGTCACAAGAAAGAGCTACAATGTGATTGCATGGTGCCACTAGTCGAGAGGAAGTATGATGAAGAGTAGAAATTTCAGTTTTCAAACTCTCCATTTGTGCCACTAGACGCTGTAGAACAGAATTAGAAGGAAGTCCATTACTTACTTTTCCTACATCATAAATGTCTCTTGAACTAAATTGCTGATTATTTCTGGCCATTTTTTCAAGAAGATCCCATCCAGCTGTTGGTGTTAGATCTAAAATAGATCCATTGGCAGCAGCATCAGTTGTGGCTTTTGTTTGTGGGAGCATGCCTTCATAAAAATATTGGACCAACCATTGTTTTGGTATTTGGTGGTGAGGGTAGCGAGTTAACATTCCCACAAATCTAGACCAGTAATCATACAAAGATTCTCCTTTATTCTGTCTAACACTATAAATCTCCTTCTTCAATGTTGCTGTTTTGGATGCTGGAAAATATCTTTCCAAAAAT